GTAAGGCTTCATTGGATGGTGCTTGAAATTATTATTCATAAATTTGTGTATAAGTATTTCGTAGGTAGAAACCAGAAAGCATCTTAATATTTTTGATTGGAACATTTTAATTTAATTATATTTGTTTGGAACAATTATAATACTTCCTTATAATTTKTATGCATGTATTTRCTTACTAACCATTAATAATATTATTATTACATTATGTCCTTCGTAATATTCACAAAATAACTATTATTAGGGTTCAGACGTTGTATAGATGTTACATATTATGTTTTTTTAATTTATTTAGAATAAAGGATCCAACAGCTAAGTCATTAGTGTGCGATTGTATTTRCATTATATTATGATTAGATGTTATGGTTTCAATGTGACCAAGATATACATTCGATCCATCAATTGTCCATAGTTATTATTGACCAATAAACCTATATAAACTATATATAATTTATGTTTTATATATTTTACATATTTATAGTACCTACCTGCTTTCCTATTYAATAAATAATTTTTTAACATACCTATAGGTAATATAAAAGAATTTTATAGGGGGGTGTACCTAGTGGCCGGGCGGATAAAAGGCGTCGGTTGCGACGCACACCATCGCCGGTTCGAATCCCGCTGTCTGGAAAGAGAGACCGCCGCCCCCACCGGGGCATGGCAGAAACCTAATGGTGTCCATTCGAAATTCTGCCAAAACATCCACAAGTACCAAAACCAACAGTTTCCTCCCCGACAATTCCACAGGCTAATGACCCTTGTTGTCGAAGCCTCAACCCTCAATAAAAAAAAAGAATTTTATTTTTTTAAAGGTTTGAATAAAGTAGTAAAAATTCAATATTTCTACAACTACTAATATTTTTTTATTTTTTATTTTTTGATTAATCCATGTTTTTGTTATAGACTAACATAGACTAACGGTAAATTTTTATTTGTGTCTTTTTAATTTAATAAGTGTATATTTTATTGACATTGACTTCTACATATAACTTTCAAGTATACTGATTATTACCATTATACTTTTTTGAATTTGATTGATTTTTTACAACATATATAACTTTTGTAYGAATGTCTTTTGTTTGGTTGTAAAAAAGACTTCTCGGTGTCAGGTGATCATAGTAATAATAATATATACATTCTAGCTGCCGTCACCTTGTTTTTTCATATTGACTTGATAGAAAGACGTAAAGACGCAAGTTCTCTGATCAGTCACTCTGTAATATTGTTACCTACAGTTCAAAGCTCTTATCTGACGATTATTTTGCATRAATAATATTGATATTTTGATATTGCTATTGTGTAAAAATATTTTGATGTTAGGATGTTTTTTATAGGTACCTGCATGGATTGACTCACATATTCTATTCTTGTATAACCACTTMATTATTACAGTTAACTTCTTTACAAAACTAAACTTTAAGACGTACATGACTAATTGAATAACAATTTAACCTAAAATTGGAATTTTTGTCAAATACTAAGAAATACTAWCAATTATGTTAATATAATTGCATGGCTTTGAAATACAGCTATAATATTCTAATAACTTTTTCACGAACTCCTGGATAAAATAAATATGTGCAAAATAATATAATGTTTGGTTTTATAGGTGACGGTGTGGCAGAAAACAATCGTCCAGGGAAAGAAATCAACGCCGTCATGAAATCGACGGCCAATGGTGGATCGTCTGACGGATCAGTGGACGCAGCGATGGCTGTAGCGCAAGACAACGGGGCTGATGACCGGGCGGCTACCACCATTCAGGCAGTGTACCGTGGTTTTAGGGCCCGGAAGTACGTGGAGGCGGTTAATGCAGCCGCGGTAAAGATCCAAGCGGGTTTCCGGGGATACCGAGTCAGACAGTCCCTGAAGAACGCGGCTCCGTCTACGGCCACAACGACCACCGATGAGAGCCAGTGTTGGTCAGATGACGACCAAAAGTCAGTTGTGTCCGTCACCTATACACCGCTCAAAGAATACGGATATGAGCCCCGTGGTGTCGGTGACGGACGAGGGGACGGTGATGATGGCAGTGATAACAGTGATGATGGGCAAATTTCCGGTGTTGTTACTAGTGTTACTAGTGATAARGTTTCCAGTGTTCCCAGCGACATTGGTGGCGGTGAAGGTGAAAGTGGTGGAGGTTATGGTGGTGGTGATAGTGTTGGGGGAGGTACTGTCGGAGGTGTTCATGTTGGCGCAGGCGTTGAAGTCGGTGGTGTTGGTGTTTACAAGGTGGACGAAGATGACGACGATCAGCTACAAACGGGCGACGACGAAGTTTTCGAGCGCGATGACAACGAAATCGGTGGCGGAGGTGGCGTTGGAAATTCGACAACAAATCCAAYCATCACTTTGTCGGGAACCGCGAATGCGACCGAAGTATCCACACAGGATGACGCAACCGAAGCGGAGGCGCTGGTACAAGCTGCTATAAAAATTCAGGCTAGGGTCCGTGGTTTTGCAGCCAGAAAACGCATGAACGAAGAAAAGAATGATGGTGCCGAAAAGAAATAAACATGTCTCAATAGTTATATTAATAATATAATAATAATAAATATGTTATTAAAAAATATATCACACTCCTTGATTTTAAAAAAATCGATGATTTTCGTTTTTCTCTCTTTCTCCATCTGTTTCTCTAAACTTTTATCCATCGACCTGTCCGCCTATATATTTGTCCAACATGCCTCATTTTTAATTATGTCAGCCTTATAATAATATTATATAATAATAATTTTAATTTAATTTTCACATACACGGTCGACAGACATTAAAAATATTACGCGTACGAATTATTACAGTTTATACTCTGTATACGATTGTTTCACAATTACTGACACAAAACAATATATGTACGAAAGAACAAAAATAATTTTTAAAAATCTTAAAGATGTTTAAAAAATACGCATGTATTATTTCGATTGGACTATGTTATTTTGCTATTTTTGTGATACATTCGAATCTGAATAGTAATTTTTATTATAACGCAACAATTTAATATTTCTAATATTATTCTTTATCACCGACACAAGTTCTTCGCATCTTACCATAAACCGTACTTGCACATTAAATTAATTTCACACTCTATAGAAGCTTACAGATATTAGTTTATTAAGTATATTTCTAGTTATTACAATTAATAATTGGTCTGAGAATTGGGTAACATTTTACAACACCAACACTCAATATGTCTGTCGCCCGATATTTAAATTTAATAATATATTCATATTTTATTATTCTCTATTCATTAAGCTTATAATATTTACTCGTTGCCCGAGCAACATATTAATGAATTAAGTAGTGTTTAAAGTGAACCTTAATTTGTGGTCTCATGTATTTTGCTTGTCAATGATTCAATTAAGATTAAAACAAATATTGGACAATTTAGTGGAGATATATTAATAATTGTTATGACTACCCGTTATCCTTATTTATGTTTAATTATATAAGACAATGTTAGTGTAGTTTAAAAAATTGAGAAAATTAAATACAAAAATTATATTATATACCTAACCATTTAAAGCTGTATTAAATGTATGTAGAATATGTAGTTGTTCTGGCTATTTAATTTATTGTTTAATTTAAGTTTAAATTCATATTTAAACATTAGTATCTCCCAATCTGATTAATATTATACTACAAAGTATTCACCTTATTAGCTTATTTTTTTTTAGTATCATGTATGTGTTAGAAAAGTATATTCCATAGAAGCTATTAAATAATATTAAATAATTATATCCATCGTAGAAATATTATACATACCTAAATATGATGTATTTTGTATGTTGTTTCTAAACAAATCTTATTTAGCTTATAATATAAACATTGTTAGTCGGTAAATTTGAACATTTTTGATTTTAATCCAACCAGGGAGACATAGCTCTATAACTACATACTTACAATAATAAAATCAATTATTATATGCTGCTAAATAATTTTCACTTTCATAGGTGTTCGAAAATTGTTATTCTAAAAAAATAAGTTGAATAAAATATAAAATGTTAAGAACTATTTTGAAACAATACATACCTATTGTAAAACATAAATATTTATTTAAAAATTTAAAATAATAATCTCCAGTATGACTTCAACTCCACTATGTAATTTATAAATACAATGCCATTGCCATAGTAATTAACATTATTATATGATGTGTATAATATGATAAATAATATTTTCAATGTTTAATTTGAAAACTTCAATAATAAATCTAAACGAAAAATTATTTATCTATATCACTGTACATATAATATTATAAATTAAGATTCCGATATTATCAACATTAAAAATCATGTTTTTTTTAAATATCAAAAAATAAAATTATTGATAAATTTTTAACCATTTACATAATATTATTGATTTTGTTCTTTATAAATCCATGACATATAAGGATTTTATCGACACAAATAATTTTAACTCCAATAAATTTTTGATGTTGCTTATTGATGAATAATAAAATAACTTTTTAAAGCCTCTCTGACAAATATTCAATTAATTGGCAGTTTAACTGCCAGTTAAATGTTTCAAAGTGTGTTCAATATTGATAAATATAGCAGAAGGGGAAGGATAATATAAACAATAATTTTTTTCTTTAGTATTTTGACTTTATTCTTTTCCATGGTTTTCATTTATCGGTAATTTTATGAAAAAAAAAAAAAAAAAACGTATTTCCTGTTTAATAAATTATAAATAAATAGATAGTTAAATCCATAATATGATTCAAATAAGTTGAATTAAATAAAATCGGGTTACAAATACATTTTAAATAAACCTAATGTAATATTTTTAGAGATCTATACGTCAATATTTTTGGAACTGTAATCATCATGCATCGATGAAAAAAGTCTTAAACTTGACATAATGTATAGAGCTATGTCTCATATTTCAAATATCTTATGGATGTGAAGTGAATTGTTCATTATCAAAATGATAGGTACATAGGTAAATTATAATATTATACATAATAATCATTTAATTAAATAATTTAGATGTAAGCACGATTGTATTTATTTTTAATTTGTTTTGTTCTTCAATGTTTTATTAAATATTTATTGTTTTTGTCATAAATCACACACGGATGTAACTATTTTCGTTCATAATTCGTGTGTGAAATATCCCGGATTAATGTACACAAAGGGGGAGAAACAAGTTTAATTTCAACAGGCCATATCAACATTTTGAACGAATAAAGATAGTACCTATGAGTAGAATGTAATGGGAAAAATAGTTCAGGGTTTTATTTGTTTAAAGAATAGAGATATATTCGAGGAAAAAGAAACACCATACATTAAGTCCTTCAAATATCCTCTAGTAATGCATTGCAGTCGGACACATTACCTGCCTGTGTCCCCAGGGAGCGAAATGTTTGTATCAATAACATAGAGAATAAGCTCTTATAATGCTAAAAGGCCACTGAGAGTATGATTGTGATTGAAACCCAGTAAAATGGAACTCTTGTAGCTCAAATCATTCTGATTGGGAATCATGTTAAAGAAAAAATACTTTTCACTCGTATAACTATGAAGTGATTGAAATTATTTCACAAGTAACGAGATTCAATATAAGTGTAGATGTATAATA